GTTTTATTTTAATAATTTATATCAAGAAAAGTTTTTTTAATTCTATTATTCTTTATAAAGAAAAGTTTTTTAAAAAATTGTTTTTTTTTTCTTTCTTTCTTTCTTCTAGAATTTTTAATTTAATTTATTCTTTTATTTTAAGAAAATGAAAAATAAATAAGTAAAAATTATAATAATTTAATTTTATTTTTAGTTTTCTTTATTTAAACATGTTTTAATTTGTTTAAAGTAGTTTAAAGTAATCATTAATGATGTTTAAATAATTCGTTGTAGAAGAATAAATCGATATATATAGGCCTATATATATATACACTGTATGCTTTTTTTATTGTGTGTAGACCATCAAAATTTGTAATAAAAAATTTCATCTCAATTTTGTTTAGAAGAAAAAAATAAAAATCAACAGGAAAAAAAGATACTTCCATTAAAGATATTTATGACTTTTATGTTTTTCTTAGAGAGAAAATGTATATTCTATATTTGATAAAATGTCGAATTTCGTATTTCTTATCGCATTAACTTAATATTATAAAATTATGTTATACGGTACGTTGATTACTTTAAATTATTCTTTTAGAATTTTATTATTATATATCAATATAATAATGAAAAATGACTGTTGCATTTATCAAAATATGTCCTAGATTATATATATATATATATATTATTAATATAAATAACATTTATTGTACATTTTTAGTCATTTATTTTTTTTAAATTTATCGTGAATTTTATAAAAGAAATAATCTTGTTTATTTCTATGGGTGACATTTTGATAAGTTAACTTTATCCTTGCTTTAAAATGGGAGAATTATTTAAAATAGTTTAATTAATCGCTGAGAAAATTATCATGAAAATCAATTAATTTAAGTGAAATTTTGACATTTGATTATTAATATAGTTAAAGAAGGAAAAAATTATATTGATTTATATATATATTATTCCATAGAAAATTTAGTCAAAATGCGATCAAATAAGTTTATGTGTACTTTATTTGCTTACTTAAAAGTTAATTATCATAACAGTAGAAGTTAAAATAAGGTTTAAATGACATTAAAAAGATTACTATATACTAAATTTTATATCATTTTTTTTAATATAATTATGCAATAAATATAAGTTAAATTGATTAATTTTTTTTTTCTTTCTAAATCTGAGGAATTATATAAATTTAACATAAAGATTTAAGACTAAAAATTGGAAAGTATAATAATAAATAAATTGCACATGTTATTTTTGTATATTTTTAATTCGCTTCGTATTTTCTGTTTACAAAGTATGTTTAGAACTCCCTTTCTACATAGAAAGGAAGGCAACGGTTGTCTACAGGTCGTCTGGGTGTAGAAAACAAAATAAATATATCTTCTTCTTCATTGCACTGACGGCATAACAGCAGTTGAAGAGTAAAGGATGATGATTCTTTCTAAACGGGACGGTGTAGATTAACGATGTGAAGAAATAACTTAGTCATTTGGTGATAAAAGACATTTAAAACATAAGATATACAGGTTTAGAAAGAAGCATATTATCCTTTGGGTACTTCAATATTGTTTGGGCCTGTCGTGCAGTCTACTTTCTTAAAGGGCTTCATAATAGAATACGGAAGCATGCCCGAGATGTTGTACTTCAGTTGGTGAAGTCTTATTATTAGTTCATGATACTAAATTGGAATTGCTATTGTTGTCCTGAGCATCTGCATTTTCTGGACTGGAAGTGCCTTCAGAACTGTCTATCATGAGAGATAGGGTGGAATGACAGACGGGAGACGAATGGACTGTGGAAGAATAATTGGACGATGATTCTTTGCCATCGCAACTAGAACCACTAATAATACTATCTGATAATTTATTGTATTCAGATTTATCGAATGTTAATGAATCTTGACTGAGAGGCAAGCACATTGATGCTTCATCAGTTTTGATCAGTCGATAGCAATCTGCTGACAGATCCTGGTCCTTCTTAGCTAATGATGAATATACCGACGTAATTTGCTGTTTATCACTATTTTGCAAACTTGACGGTTCATTTTGATCACCATTTTGATTATAAAGTTTTACATCTTGTACTTTTTGATGACATAACATCATCGACTGTTGATTCTCACTATTTTCTGAACTAAATTCTTGATTAATACTTTGAGAAAATAATCCTGATGATTCTTCATTTTCGGATATGTTATCAATGTTACTAGTACACAAATGAATAAGTTCTTCTTTACTATCCGATTGAGGATAGGATTCTAAATTACTCTGGATTCTCCTAGAATCAATTTGGTCCTCTTTATTGTCTTTATTTTTTGATTCTACAAGTTGGAAACCTGACACTTGCGATTCTTTATCGACTTCGATTTCGAAGAATGACGAATCTCCAGAATTTTGTGTCGAAGGAAATTTCGAACTTCCCTCTTCCTGCGAACAGTAACTACCCGTTTCTTTCGTCACACAATGCGATGGTGCAACTTTTGCTTCCTGAATTCCATTGTAGACGGACACAACCCGAAGTGGAATAGGAGATAAGTCGGCCACGGCTACTTTATCAATGGGTTCGTCTGGAGATGCTTGCCTCAAATTAATATTTAAGATAGATGTGGCATCTCCCGTAACTGAATTATCTTCTTGTGTTTCGTTTTGCTCCAAACCAATATTGATAACCGGCAATTCTATACTAACTGCAACGAAAAAAAATAATAAAAATAATAATNAATGTCATAAAAATAAAATTTAAGTACAGGAAGCCGTTTTCCACGTTCCAATTATAATTTTATAAGCCACCTTCAAGTTTCAAAATTATTATTCTTTTTTTTTAATGGGGAAATACATTAATATTTGGACCAAATACAAATACAAGCGAATGACGATCAAGCAACCATATTGAAAAAAAAAAAAAAATAAGAGGATACAGAAAAATTTGCATTTGGTCTACAATTTTTTTTTTCTAGAATTTAATTAAGGAAAAGATATCCTACCTGAAAATAAAAATGAAGAGAATTAATAATGCAAAAAATACTGCAACATTATCGATAGTGCGAAGCATAACAACCAATTGACGTCGAAGTGCTGGCATAAAGCGAACTAGTTTCAGTATTCGCAGTAACCTAAAGGTCCTGAGCACTGATAATCCACTACCGCTGCTCTGACATAATTCCGATATTATTATTATTTTTTTTTGCAAAGAATAATTAATAAAATTCTCGTAATTTATTTTATACTCGAGAATCATTAAATATTTATTTTTCTCATTTTTCTAGTTACGTTGTTGTACTAAACAATTTTATATTTTCTAATGTATTTTCTTACTCCATTGTTAAATAAAATTTTACCTTTAATTTAATTTTTATTCAGGCAGAAACGTTATAGAATTATGCATTTTTAAGTACAACTGACAAAATTTTGTTTCTGATTTTTCTATATTGAAAAAAAGTATAGAAAAGAATCAAAAAGTTACAATATACTAGCTTCTGTGTATTGGTTCTAAGGGTTCACTCGAGGAAAGAAGTTAAACTGCTTGAGGTGAGAATCGAACTTGAATCATTATAATTCTTTTTACACTATTCTTATGTATTAAAGATAAATATTTTAATTTAAAATTCATTATCTAAAGCTTTAAAGAATGTTATTTCATATCTCAATTTGAATCTGAAAATAAATCCTTTTCTATAGAAATGTCTATTGTAATTTATGATTTTAAATTAATTTAAAATTTTTATTATTTGTATAGTAATAATACAAACTGAATAAAGATGAATAGGTATAGGCCTATAAATATTTTATAATTTAAAATCCATAAGGAAAAGAATGTTTATTATAAAGGGAATTTATTTATAGCTCACCTCTTGCTATCCTTAACACTCTCATAACCCGCATTATAGTTGGATTAATCGGCATGACATCAGATTCCATCTCTTCTAACGTTATTCCAACAATTGATAAAATAACAATTATAACATCTAACTGGTTCCATCTACAGGATATTAAGCATCAGCATGGAATATACAGGCTATATATATATATATAAAAATAACTAATAATAACTCGTTACTCACTTATCTTTAAGATATTTAACAACACCTAATGCAAGGACTTTCATTACAGCTTCCAGGATAAAAACAGCTGTAAAAAAATAGTTGAAGATCTTCAAAGCGTAAACAAGCTCCTTTAAAAAAAATAATTTAAAGAATTATAGTTTATAAATTTGTTTATAAATGACGAACATCGATAATAAAACTTACTTTAGGCATCATATAAAATTCCATAGCCATAGTGACTACATTTAATCCAATAACAGCTGCGATAGCTAAATCAAAATATTTGCTGGTTACAATGCTATGCGTAAATAATCTTGGTTTGGAATAATTGATATAATAGGGTGGTTCCATTAATTCTGTAAAAAAGATATAACACGTAAACGATTATACGTGTTATAAAATGACTTGTTACATAACATAACGTGCAATAAATTATTATATTAAGATTAATAAAATTAGGCAAGTAAAAAATTACCACTTCCAACAAACTCTCGGCAGCAGCAACTTCTCGGAGTTTCTGTTCTTGTTCGGCTGCCAGCTCTTGTTCAATTTCCGCATCCATCTCTAAATCGTCTTCCATATGTTTGTGCGATTCTTCCAAATGCTTCATCAATACTGCCACAACTACATTCACCAAAACAAATTGTGCCATTAACACGAACACGACGAAGTACAACGGTGCAATGAAAGCAGACACACAACAATTACGAACACAATCGCTCGAAGAATCACACGATTCTCGGAGAGTATCCTGAAGAGAAGTGGACAATGATCATTAGTAAGCAACGTCCGTTAATGAATTAAGCAATTAGAATCAAACTACGTACTTTCATTATTCCGTTCCAGTTGTCGCCGGTGGCGACTCGAAATAAGGTGAGAAATGCCATACCAAAGTTTCTGAAATGGGCATGTTCTCCGAGACCCTCACAAGGAAACTCTTCTGTACATTCTGAGTATTAAAAAAAATCCATTAAAATGTTAGGAATTTTTGTTAACAAATTCTTTACAAAATGCACTTACCTAAGCGACCAAACAATTCAACTCCAAGAGCAGCGAAAATAAAAAACAGGAGAAAGAAAAGCAGACCCAGATTTCCAACTTGGGGTAAGGCTTGCATTACGGTATCCAATAAAGCTCTAATGCCTTTGGCCATTTTTAACAATTTCAAAACTGTTCACCAAAACATTTAGAATTAAAATTTATTCTTGGATGAACTAATTAATTTTATTAATTTATTTTTATTAATTTTATTAACTAATTTAGTTTAATTTTTAAAATAGAAAAAATATATATATANTAAATAAAAAAATTGTACTTGACCTATCTATGAGAAAAGAATATTATAAATTACCTTGTCTGTATGTTTGTCGGATATATCCGTCAAATATTAAATAATTGTCACAGAAAGTAGTATGACGAATATTTCCGTCAAATGTATTTAATAAAGAAATTTACTTTCGTGTCATATATATTTAATAATTCATATAACTTTATCCCTTTATAAATATTTTATAATTGAAAATCCATAAGGAAAAGAATGTTTATTATAAAGGGAATTTATTTATAGCTCACCTCTTGCTATCCTTAACACTCTCATAACCCGCATTATAGTTGGATTAATCGGCATGACATCAGATTCCATCTCTTCTAACGTTATTCCAACAATTGATAAAATAACAATTATAACATCTAACTGGTTCCATCTACAGGATATTAAGCATCAGCATGGAATATACAGGCTATATATATATATATAAAAATAACTAATAATAACTCGTTACTCACTTATCTTTAAGATATTTAACAACACCTAATGCAAGGACTTTCATTACAGCTTCCAGGATAAAAACAGCTGTAAAAAAATAGTTGAAGATCTTCAAAGCGTAAACAAGCTCCTTTAAAAAAAATAATTTAAAGAATTATAGTTTATAAATTTGTTTATAAATGACGAACATCGATAATAAAACTTACTTTAGGCATCATATAAAATTCCATAGCCATAGTGACTACATTTAATCCAATAACAGCTGCGATAGCTAAATCAAAATATTTGCTGGTTACAATGCTATGCGTAAATAATCTTGGTTTGGAATAATTGATATAATAGGGTGGTTCCATTAATTCTGTAAAAAAGATATAACACGTAAACGATTATACGTGTTATAAAATGACTTGTTACATAAACATTTTTAAAAAAAGTTATTAAGGTTAATGAATGTAAATTAAAGTAGAAATTTAAATAATTAATTTAATAAGATAATAATTCATTTACTCTTTCGTTTCTTTTCGAGTTTTTTAGCTCTTTTAGCGGCTCTTCTCGCTTTCTCTTCCTTCTCTTGCTGTTCACGACATCTGTGAAAGTTCTCAACTACCACCCCAACAAACATGTTGAGAACGAAAAAGGCCACAAGGAGAAGAAATGATATGAAGTAAAAAAGTCTCCAAACGCTATGATTTTCCACTGGCTGAGGGAAATATAAAACTATCATAAAAATTATCTCTACTACACTACTTCTATTATTACTAATACTACTACTACTATTTCTTTTGTAGTTTATGTGTTAAATAATTTAAATTTAATGCTTAACTTTAACGTTGAAATGCCCGAAATATTATTTAAAAATAATAATAGTAAATTCGTATAAATTATTAAAAGTGTACAATAAAATTTGCTAACGAAATTCTGTAATTCTTTTGTGATATTTTAATAAATAAAGATTTAATTGAAAATTTAAAAAATTTTTCCATTCTTATAGCCCACATTTTTTTTATATATATATACTTAAGGTTACTTTGTCACTGTTCATCGATTTTTTATTTTATATTCCCAATTCTCTAATCTTCTTTATACGTTCTTTAATCATGAATTTTTCCTTCACTAGTATTAAAAGTAGCATTATCGTATCTATTTTAATCATATCCTCTACTATTCTATAGCTTTATTAATGGTCTTTAAATATCTAAATTGCAAAATTTTTTTTTTTTAAATTTCTATTTGAAATGAAGTATTGATACCGAAAAAATATTACCTTCTTAATATCTCTCAAAGGGATATATATTAAAAGATTAAAAAGAACATTCGCATTAATGGATAAACTTTAAATTTCTCTCCATATATAAAAAATTTTTAATCGATTTTTATTATTTTTTTTAGCCAAATTAAAAACTTATTTCCATATATTATTATCGATGTTATATTTATATAAATTTAATATCAAAATGAGAAAATTAATTACTTGCATGTCTACATCGACAGCATCAAGGCCGGTATACATAATATTCACCCATCCATCTTTGGAAGAAAGAACAAATAGGGTCATAAGCGCCTGAAAAAAAAATAAAAAAAAATAACCTGTATATAACGGACAAATAGATTAAAATATTCTTAAAACTCTAATTAATTTTGTTTTTAATTAATCATTAAAAATTATACACATATATGGAGGATTATATGTAAAAATTGAGACTACAGGTGTTATATTAATCTTTGTTTATTAAGGAATTATTTTTATGGTAGGACCAGCAATCGAAGAGTTTAATAACAGACTCATAAGTCCTATAAATGTACCATAGAAGTACACTTATGGAACATCTTGTATATTAAATTTTTCTACAGAAATATAGGCTTGTATAGTTATCGTTATTTAATTCTATAGAAGGACGTGTTAGATTAATTTCAAAACGATATTCTAATACATAACGTGTGTTAATATATAAGTTATTTTTTTAGTCATTATATTTAAGCTGTATATAACAATTAAGTTTTTATTTCAGATTCATAAAATATTGTATAACAGTCACTCGTTACACAAACCTGTATAAATATAGTAAAATACACATAAAGACACGTATAAATAGAGAAATATAAATAGTAACCTATAGAAATATATTTATTCATGTTACGTATATTGTAATACGTAGATTTAAAAATAGAATGGTTGGATTAATTATTGAAAATGTCAAGATTTTTAAAATGTATGAATTCGAGTGATTAATTATATTCTACATCTCTTTCATTAACACATATTGAATCTTCTATAATGTATTTTTGATCTATATTTTTAATTAATAGCTAGTTTTCATTGAAAACTTTTCATTTAGTATTTTACTAATTATATCTATAAATGCATTAACATTTCATATTTGTATATAAATTAGTCACTAGTTAAATAATTTGATGGATTCTTTTATACTTCAAAATTAATTTAGGAAAAATATATTATTTTTATTATTATTATTTTTTTNAATAATTTTTTGAATTGAAAAGATAGATTGATTTTTTATAATTTTCTACATAGTGGAATTTAAAAATAAAATTTGATGAATTTTTTAGTTTTGTATAGATAAAATAAGATTTTGTTTGTTATCAATATAGATATTAATTATTTTAAAATATAAAAACATCTTTCAATGTAGTCTGCTTTGTTTCATTTTAACTTGTAGAAACAATTATATTAATATTTTTAAACTTAGCTTTCTTTGAAAAGTAATTTAGCTAACATAATCAAGTCATAAATACATTATTAGTTTAATCAAAAGTAATACCAAGCTTTAGTTTTTTTTATAATTCTAATCAAATAGTTTTATTCACTTTTCAAACTCTTTTGCTGCTATCTAATTTCTTTTCTGTACAAGGATATACTGTAAAAAAATTTTTTTCTGGAAAAACAGATATTACTGAAAAGTATTGAAATTTTGAATATGATAATCACATATAAAAATATATAAATTATTTTAATCTATTGCTGAAGTTGCTTCTGTTCAAAATGATTGCCTAGAATTTAGTGATTTTTAGTAATTGGGTTTTTCTGCAAATAGTTTTTTAATTTAAATTATAATTTGATATATTTTATTTTTTTGTTTTGATTTCTGTAATTTATTTTATATGGAATTTTAAAAAATTTAATTATATTCATATTCAAGTCAAAAACAGATTTGATATTACTGAAAATTTCAGATGCATCAAAAGCATTTAATTACTTCAATTTTTTTGTTTTTTGGTGTTATCAAAATTGAAAGGATAAAACAAAATAATAATAATATTTGACAATTTCCTAATCATTTAAATTATTCAAAAATTATTTTTATTTTTATCAATGAAAACAAATTATCATCAAATAGTAATCTGCATGTTTTCTTTTTATATAATTAATGCACAAAGAAACTTTTAAATATTGTGTATATGTATATATCACATCATTTATTATTATTTCATATCACAAATAAGTTTTTTACTTGAAACTAAATTTATTAAACAATGATATATTAAATATGTATCTGAATGAATTTAATATTTATATTATGTAGAATATTTAATATATTCTGCATTAATAGTAACTACATATTAAAAATATATTTCAGAATATCAGTTCAAATTATGATAAATTAATATGAAAATTCAGGCAATCAAAATGAACATAAACTGATATTTTAGCATAAAGTGGAAGTATTATTGTCTAGTATGTCATTATTAGTAGTCATATTATGTTAGTAAGATATCGTTTTTTTCAGACAAATAAATCAATATTCCATTAGATGTTTTGTGGAATTTTTAATTAAAATTTTGATATAAACAAAAGTATATTTCAAAACATTTGAAATTATTGGTCAAAATTAGAAATGCTACAATTCATTGCAGATTCTTCAGAAGAAAAAAATTACAAATACTTCTAATCTTTAGATATAGATTATTTTCAGTTACACATCTTACTTGCAGAATTTATATACTGTTAAAATGATGAGACGTTATGATTTCAAAAAATTGATTGATAAATTTATGGAATTAGCAATTTATTTTACAGAAGATTTGCAATAAATTTATTTTTTCTGACTTTTCAATTTTTAAAACAATGATTTATTATTTAAACCTCTTTAAGATATATATTTGATATTTGTTGAAATCAAATATTAAAACAAAACAAACCATGTAATTAATTACAAGTAGGTATCTTACAGCAATAAATTTTATTTAATATATAGGAAGATAATTTTTTATTGCAACATGAAACTCTTACAAAACAAACATGTATTTATAGCATGTATATTTATTATTTCTTTTCATATAGCAAGAATTGTCAATGCTTTAATTTGTTTGCTTTAATAATTGAAACTATATACAGTGATACCTCAGTTTTTGTCAATAATCCATCTGAAAACAATCAGCAAAATCCAAAACTGAGGCAATTATTTCAATATGAATCAATGTAAATCCAATTAATTCATTCTAGATACTCCAAAGTACATATCAAAAATACATTTAATAAATATAGTGTTTAATACTAAAAACAATATGAAATTAATATAAAATGAATATAAAGATGAGGACAATTTCAGCAATCTTAATAGTGCTTGTATTTTTCAATGATTTCCTTCTTCAACTTCGATCACGTTCGTGGCCATATATTTGCATCTGAGTTGATTTGATCAGATCTATATTAGTCTGATCTGACTTCTTTTTTTATGTTGTTTATTTAGAGATTTTTATTAATTTTTAACAAAATGAAAAAACTTTCACATTTTTAAACATGTGAAAATATTTTTAGAAGATATTCATAAAGTCATATTAAAATAATTTTAGATATATTCACATAGAGGTTTTAACTGATGTGTTCAAATGATTGGTGTATTGAATCAGGTTACTTCACCACTACTACTAATTAAATTCTGATTAATTTGATACTATAGGTAGGCATTAGATGCCATCTCTTATTAAATTTAATAATTATAATTAAATTAATATTTATTAAATAATTTAAATGGCCGGAGGTCTGGGTAGCATAACTGGCAATGCATCTGCATGATAAGCAACAGTTGTGTGTTCCAGTTCTGCTCTGAGCCAATTTTCACCAACATATTATCATAAACATTTGAACTTGTTCAAAAGCACATAAATTTTTGAAAAGTCAACTAGAATTAATAAATCTTGCTGCAAATGGTTTTTATAAAAAAACCTATTTACAGAAGGAAGTTTGTTAAATTTTCACAATTCTCTTCCAGAAGAGAATTTTAAGTCTTAAAATGTTTTCATGGAAGATATTTTTTATTGTTTCTTTATACTTTGCATTTTTTTGAAAAGCAATTGCAAATTTCATATTGATTTATGTTTGTTGTTATGCAGAAATAAAAAAATCTTAATCTTGACTATAATCTTTTATAACTGGCCCCAGACTTGTCTTTTACAGTTCATATGACCCTTCCCAGAAAAAGGTTGCAGATTCTAAATATAAGGTATTGTGATTAAATCCACTAAGTATTCAAGTATTTGAACTTATTCAAATATTTAAGATCTGGCTATTTGAATTTGAAAAAAGTGATATTTGTCCATCCCTACTTAAAAGCAACATGTACCCAGTAGTCTAACTATTATTTTGAGGTTCTTATAAATCTAAGAAAAATTAAATTTGTAATTTTTACAAGTCTTTTTTTATATTAATATTGTTAGGGTTTATTTGATGATGATATATTTAATTTTAAAACTGTTAATAAAATTTTTAAAAACATTTATTCAGTGCAGGCTTCAGACTTCTAGATCTCATGCATTACAGGGTTCTGCAAAGCCTAGTTATACTNTTCTATAGAAAGTCCTCGCGAAGATACAATCCCCTTTGACATATCGTCCCTGTGTTGTACCGCAATACAATACAATGAGTACGATAACAGAGATAAAATTATTAATCAATATGGAATGTATTTTTTTTAAAATTTGTATAATTTTACTACAAAATTATTAAATAAAACAATTTTAATGTCAAGAATTTGTCATAAAGTTATTTTTAATTATAATGAATGTATAGATTTATAAGCATTAAATAAAAAAAAATAAAATAAAAGAAATAATGTATAATGGCATACAGACTCACGCAAATGTCATTTTAAAGCTAGTTAAATTTGGATACGTCAGAAAATGAATATCAATAGAAACTTCATAATTGATTATGCTCATGAATATAATACTTTCCTACATATAATCTATAATATATTACCTGTATGAAGGTAATAAAATAAAGTATTGTATAGAAGAAACATATTTTCTAATTATTAAAGCATTTTACATAAAACTCGGATAATTAATCCATCAGGTATTAAGGCTTTGTAAGGTTTCGGTTTCATTTTAGTTTGACTTGGTTTTGATAGGATATGGCAACATAATACACGGACAATCAAATAGTATAGTATACATACATACGTGTTATGCATGGAAGCATCCTTTGGTACGTCACTTTTGAACATTCCTGTATAATTATTAATATTAGTTTATGTTATAATGTTATAATGCATCTACAGCATATCATCAAATTCCATAGAGCAGCCAAGGCAAATAAAAAACCAGTTATTGTGCCAAAAGGAATGGTAAAATCATTATTATATCAAATTTTAGATGGTATCCATTATTTGCATTCCAATTGGGTCTTACACAGGGATTTGGTAAGTGAATGTAACAGATAATTAGATTGTCAATAAAGAAAATCAAATAGTTTTAATAGTAATTTTATTTCAGAAACCAGCTAATATTCTTGTCATGGGAGAAGGTCCTGAAAGAGGAAGAGTTAAAATTGGTAAATTATATTGTAGTATTAGATTTGAAATAAAAAAAGTCATTGATTTAATCTATTCTTACTTTTTTTTAGCGGACATGGGTTTTGCACGCCTCTTCAACTCTCCATTAAAACCTTTAGCTGATTTAGATCCTGTAGTTGTAACTTTTTGGTATAGAGCTCCAGAATTATTATTAGGAGCAAGACATTATACCAAAGCTATTGGTAATTATACTCATTATGAATGTTATAGATTTAGCTTATTTTTTATTTTTTTAAATTACTTTAAACTGAGTTTGTCAACATTTCCAATTTTGTTGTCGAAAAGTTATTATACTGTATGTGTATATATATATTAAATTAATTAATTAATTAAAATATAATATTAAAATATATATACAATATATATTTATTATATTAAAAATATAAAATAAATTAATTAAAATATTAATATATTACATAATAAATAAATTAATAAATTTTTAAAATAATAATGCCAGATTTCTTTTCATAAACTATAGATGATAATTTTCAAAATTTTAATGTGATAACTGAAATCATTTTACTATGTTAAATTTTTAAGCAGAGTAAAGAACAATGTTCCCTCTAATTTTTTTTGTAGATGAGCGGAACATATACTTCTCTGAGCAAAAAAAACGTTTTTGCTGAGCAGAAACTNATATATTTATATAAGAAAATACCTTTATGAACATTTCTACTGCAAAAACAAAAGTAAAAACATAATTAGCAGCATTTAAAACTTCTCTCTCTACACTATCAGGAGGAATCGTTGGTCTTTCCATAGCTAAACTAATACAGTTCAATGCGATAAATAATAAAATACCATAATCGAATTTTTTATTGTCTGCTAGGAAAATGCAGACCTTTCTTAATCTGTAGAATATAAATAACTATAATTAATTTTAAAATATATATTAAAACAAGATACGTTATAAATAATTTGTTTAGTTAAATAGATATAAAATTGGAATATTTACCTATTAGAACGAGGAAAAATAAATAAAGAGTAATCTTTTCTATCTTTAAAACATCCTCGTGGTTCTATATACCAAGATAACTGCAATATAAAAGAATGGAATGTTTTATTATTGAAGGTTATTAAATATGATTTCGATGCTTGTCATTAAATTTTTTTTTTTATTTAAGAAATTTAGAAAAAAAGCTTATATTCTAACCTTTAGCTCAATCTTCTCTGCATTAATTCCATTATCGACTTTAACCTGTATCGTCTCATTCAAGTTATTTAGCTTGAAATCATCTTTTAGAGAGGATGCGGTTAAAGAATTTTGGCGACTACAATGATCGAAATTAGCGGAAACATTAATAGATCCTGTCTGCGAATCTCTGTGACACGGACTTGAAGAATCTCTCTTAATTGAATTTTGTGGACTAAGGCTTCTTGGAGTTCCTATGCTATTTTGTTTAGTTGGAATGGGTCTCTTATTGTTTGGTGTATTCACTACTAACGTAGTAAGTCCACCATTACACTGAAGATAATCGGAACTGGAGCAACTGGAATATGTAAAAAGAGGTGTAAAAATCATATAATAGAAATAAATCATTTTAATATAAGAAAATCAAGAATAATAAGATTTAAACATCATATTTATACTATAATATAATACTAAAATAATGCTATAATAGGTCTCTCTCTCTTTCTACACACACACACACACACACACTACTATATACATATATATAGATGAGGAAGAGAGCGCATTGTATATATATATATCAATATATATTAATTCTTATTGTAGTCTTTTTAATGGAATAAATAATAAGGACACAAAAGGAAGACTATTTATTATTAGACCTAATAACTTTCACTGAAAATTGCTCTAGTATTTAAATAATTATTAGAAATGATTACATTTAAATTAAATTACCTATGAGAGGTATTGCTAGTCATATTATTTAAGACAGTTTCTTCACCATCACTAGACGAACCGCTATCTAAATCTACTAAATTTTCTTTATCACCCTTCTTTTTCCATTTCGATTTCCAACTTCGTATACTTCCACCTCGATGTCGACTCGAAGGACTGTTGCAACTGCTCGACTGACTCAAAGAATTCTATTTAAAAAGCATATAAATAAATCAGGATTGATAAGAGCTTTATTTGTATGCTAAACAAAATACAGCACGTTGCAAACTTACCTTTCTACTAAGAAAACCAGGCTCCAAACTAGATCGACGACAAAACATTGGAGATAAACTCTCCTGTCTCGGAGACAAATTATCAGGGATATTTAAATTGATGCTCCGATTACTTCTCTTGCTAGCAGTACGAGATAAACAAGGAGATTCTTGAGGACTAGCAAACGATGTCGGACTTTGAGACTAAGAAAATAAATACGAGATCTTAGATTTACTTATTAAAAATGTAGTAAAAAAAATATACTTCTAATTAAAAAAGTTTTCTATGGAAATTACAAGAGAAAAAAAGTATATATATGAATATAAACAATTCGATAATTTTTAATGGCGTGTGCGCCTTTATTTAAAATATGAAGAATTAAATAAGTGGTTACCAAAGACTTATCGATTGATTCTAATGAAGGTGCGCTGATATTGAAAGCCATCAGTGGAGACAACTTATTGTTCAGCTCCCTGACAAGAGGTTCCAAAGTAGCATTTGGAGAGCCCTGAGGAGTTGCTGCAGTATGAGTGATAATGGGAGGAAAATGCACCGCCTCTTTGGCTGTTGGCTGCGATCTCATCCTTGTTTCTGTAATAAATTTTTAAAAGTTCGTTGAAGCGAATTTACGATTAAAAATTATAATAAGTTACGATAACGAGACGTAAATATACAATATAATAAAATCATTCCAAATTTTATTATTATTTAAACTTAATTATATTTTCGTAAACGTGTGTTTTTTTGAAAATAATTATTAATTAATTAATATAATTAATCTGCGAGTTACTATTAATATTTATAGAAAAAAAAAAGATTTAAGGTGATGATTATCAGATGGCGCCACAAGTAATTTTTAAGGCTATTTTCCAAGATAAACACAAATAGAGGAAGGAAAACTTCCTTATTTATTACGTGTATTCTATTCATAGAAACTTCTCACTTTTACAAAAATTAATTTATATTCTTAATTAATTGAAACGAGTATATTTATAAAATTAACCGTATCATTGGAACCTTTTTCTATATTATCCTTCGGATCATCATCGTCTTTTTCTGTCCACTGTACAGATTTCGTATCTTCGTCTTTGCAATTTGAATTCTGTTTGGAATCAGGATCATCAGTATCTTCCGCTTTCTTATCGTCCTGAATAGATACGAAATTTGTCATCAGCCATATCTTTTCTTGTCATTTGTCGATAATAAACCAACATTATTAATATATATATATATAAAAAAAAGATAAAAGAAGAACATACCTCGGTAGAAAATCCTTCAACCAAAATGGCTACTAATAAATTGAACAAAACGTAATTGCCGAACGTCATCAAAGCGACAAAGTATAAGGCTGCCCAGTGTGAAGTCTTTTCCATGCCGTTAAATAACACTACATTCCAATCTTCTTGAGTCAAGATCTTCAAAATATAAAGAACTTTGAAGTTAGCTTGCTAATATTTTTTCAAAAAATATAAAAAATAAAACATGACACTAAGTGTTAAAGTATTACTATAACCATCATACATGATACTAAGTTTAAAATTCATTCAATCAATTATTAATCTATCAATTGAATAATCTATTACATAAATACTAATATAAAAAATATATATAGGCCTATATATAATAGTATTTCTTCTTTAAAAAAGGATAGACAATTATCCTACATTAATAAAATATAGATATGATAGATATAAATGTCAAGAAATCGAATTTAAAGCACTGACATCAACAAATTCGATAATAAATCAAACATCTTTATAATACTTTTTCTTATCCTTTTTTTTTAAAAAAAATATATATAACAAGATATTGGCCAAGATTTTATTTATTTATTTTTTTAATCGCTCCATTCGAGATTTATACCAGTTACCTTATCGATTATAAGCAACATGTTAGTGTCTACGTCCTCGATAAGGACGTCTCTTTGATGTTGTGTTTTATATTT